TTGTTTAAAAGTGTTAGAAGCAAAGTGGAAGAGGGCGATGGTGCCTCTCAAAATCAATGTATTGGATTGCTGCACCCTCTAGTGGTGATAGAGATCAATAACACTGCCTTGCCTTCTGACGTTTAGCAAACAGGAAATGGAGCAGAAAAGACATCTGGGCTGCTAAACCTGTATCAGAATGTTGATCTAAATGTCAAACTTACAGGTTAAATTAAAGACAACTCGCTCATGCACCGAAAAAGGTAAGAAAATGCCAGCTGTTGGTGGCAGTTAATAAAACATGCTGCCGTGTACGCTTGGTAAATTGTAAATTAATGAAGAAACTAATTGGCTTCTGTCCTTGTCAGAAGTGAGCAGGTTTGTCTCCTCACCTAAAGGTCAGACACACAATTACTAATCTGCAAAGACGTCCCACCTCATCTAAGACGAACATAAATCACAGCAAATGACATCTAATCAGTGTACATTTGTCTGACTGACAGCGTTTGTTGTTTTCCACTCGGGGGTTATCTTCAGAAACGGACTCAAGCTGGTAACTACTGCACTTCCTCCCAGTCGCTCGTACCTGTAACAACGCGTTTGCGATGTCTGGGTTTTCCGGATTGTCAAAATGCAGCATCTGGGAGCCCAAGCCGTAGTAGTAGGGCCCCATCTTATGCAAGTCCACCACGTTGGGGTCCGCCGTGAACACGGTCCTCCAGCCCTCTTTGTAGATTTTAGGGAGCTCCACAGACAACACCTTCCTCTTCTTCTCATACAGACCCTTACAGAGCCATAGAGGAAGCTCCATCTTTGTGCCCTGAAAGGAAAGAAAGAGCGCTTAGTGTAGCAAACAGGCTCTTAGGCACCAACAGGCCGCTCTCCAAACTGCTGGCGCCGATGTGTTCGTGAAGGCAAATGAGCCAAATGCAAATACCTTAAAACATATTTTTTTAACTCTTCATGATATTCAATCATTCATTTTTAATATGTGCTTAATTCTGTGCTTTGTCACATGTAGATTCACGTCTTTCTCTGTGCTTAACATGCAAGAGACAGGGTTCGAACTGGTCAGGTTATGAGTCCATCACAAAGACACATAGAACTAATAACTAAGGGCAGCTCAGTCACTAATTTTCCTAATATTCATGTTTTTGGATTGTGGGAGAATCCAGAGGACAGACCCGCACATGTACAAAAAAAAAAAAAGCATGAAATGCCACAGAGAAAACACCTGACCATTATTTGAACCTGCGACCTTCTAACTACAAGGCAACAGTGTCATATGTTGGATCCACTTCGAAGGTATGTTAGTTTAACGAAACACAAAGACGGAAAACAAGATTCAAAGGTTCAGACTTTTTTTTGCTGAATTTTTTGGCATTCTGAAATGTTTCGAATCAAACAAATTGTGATGTCAGACAAAGATAACCTCGGTTCAATAAATTAAACTAAGGCTAATTCATAAATATAAGCTTGTTTATCCAAATAAGTTGAGTTTTGATTCAAAATTAGCCAAAGAATTGTATGTTTTGTGTATTGTATGTTAAATTGTATGTTTGTATGTTTTTAAACTGTAAGAGTTTTAATTTGTTTTATTTATTTTTTTTAATTGTTATGTTGTGTTTTAATGTACAGCAATTTGTATCATCTGTGGTTGTTTTAAAGTGCTTTATAAATAAAGTTGGTATGGTATGGTATGGTATGGTAAAAAAGATTAAATTTGCGCAGACTTTACGAGGGAGTAGTATTTATTCTTGAACACCGAAAATGTAATTTTTAGAACAACAATGACTAAAACTATTAAAAACTAAGAACACTGAATTGAGATTGGCGAGACGTTCGGTTGAATTCCATATTATTTATGCCTCAGTAACTTTTAAGTACATAATAATGTAAAGAGTGATTTAGAGATAAATGCTGTGCCAGAGGTCATTGTAATTTATTGCAGAAAACTCAACCAACCTCTGGAATGTCCTGTGAATCACTAGACTTCTCCAGAAATCCAAGTCGGGGGAAAACGCACTCCGTCCGGACAGGCAGTCTCTCCTGGGAGAGCAAAATGTCGTCGAGAGACAAAAAATTCTCCTCCATCCCCACACCGGGAGGTACGGGAAAATAAGATGGTGTGTCCATGTGAGTAAATGTGAGACCAAAGTTAGACAAGTAACGGAATAAAAACAATGAAATTCTCCCGTCTTACAGCGCTTCCACCACACTTCCTGGTTTTTGGCGCCGGAACAAATAAACCAATCACAACGCTGGAAACAAGTGCGACAAACTGACGGTGTGTTCTAGTTACCTCGGAAGTTTGAAATCTATTTCTGAAAATATGTCACACCCATCTTCGTCTTGGAAGTTGGGAATCCACTAAAATGTACTAATAGTTTGAATATTGGCAGAGCAAGAGTACTATATTGAAAGTGTTATTCTGTGCAATTTACGTATTGTGAAGGAGAATGTCCACAAATGTCTTACATAGTACCTTTAGTGAGTTGGATTCATAGTTGGAAGTTAAAATTTTAAACTTACATTTCACAAAATTAACTTCAAGTTTGTAATTTCAGCTCAGAAAGCTACCACCTCTTGCTAACACTGGTTCAAATCCAAATATGACTGCTTCTCAACAAAATAACGGGTTTTCGTTGGGATTTCTGACAACTTGGATAAAAGACTGTGATACACATTTTAAGTATAATTTGTGGACATTTTTATTTTAGAGTACAAATTCATGAAATAAAGATAAAGTCACTGATATGTGCAACACATCGTATTGCAGATACTACTAATTTTCCAACTTGCAACTAGAAAGCTGTTAAATTGGGGCGATGTAATTCCCACATCCGACTAACAACTGTACCAAAATAAATTGAACAAAACATGTGAGAGATTTGATGAGATATACATTAAATATGTAAACCTTAATTAAATATTTAAGGTATACAGAACATGCGGTTGGACTTGGACTTTGACCTTGAGGTTACTCTGGGATTTCTCACTTTCCAAGTCATAAATTTGATGCCGTCTTGGATTTTTCCAACTTTGAATCAATGAAATAAAAATAGATGAAATAAAGACATATATGGAAAACACCATCAGTATCTATCGACTGAACTGAGCTCTGAACTTATACAGCATAATGTCAGATTGACTTCTGTGATATGTTATCAGCATTTTCTATATTGCAAATTATTTGAATAAAATATCCTGTTATTGAATACAAATAACATATCATATAAGGGGCAGCTTTCATCAGTTATTTAATCAACAGGATCAAAATGCCAAAATAAAATCATGTGTAATAATATTTTTGACCATTGGAGGCCAGAATATCACCACGAATAAAAATAGGGTCACCTTATAACCAGTTGGAACTGTTAAGGTAACCAATATGTGAACTGTAATTATATTAGAAGCGTAAAAAGAAAGCACAACAACAAGTAGCTAAAAGTTAGACAGTAAATTCAACCTTGAATTTCCATCCAATTAAAATGCAGCACTTGTCTCAGTGCCCTCACCTTTTCTCTGTCACTTCTGATAACATTCATCAGCTGATAAATGAGGAGTGACAGCCAGTCCAGACTGTAATATTGTACTTTCTCCTTTGTCAGGGTAAAATCAGTTCACAAATCTTGACGACAGCAAAAACAGTTCAGTCATTTTTCTTATTTTGACATTGCTGATTCTCAGACACATCCTTCAGACGCCACATTAAGGTCATCAGACACGTGGGCCAACTTCCACCTCAACAAAGTGTTTCTTCATGACTCAAGAAATTAAACAGCTAATAAATTATAAGGATTCAAATGACACCAGGCTAGATTTAATAACTGGGTTGGCGGCTCAAAGCTGTCTGTCTCAGTCGTGTCCTTGGGCAATACTTCAGCCGCCTTGCCTGCTGGTAGTGGTCAGAGGGAGTGAATGACAGCCTCGCTTCTGTCAGTCTGCCCCAGGGCAGCTGTAGCTTACCACTGTCAGTGTGTGAGTGTGTGCATGAATGGGTTAATGACTGAATGTAGTCCTATAAAGCACTATGCTGTAGCATCACCATTTACCATCTACCAAGGTCCTTGTAAGCAAGGAATGAGCTGTAACAGCATCATGACTACAACTGCTTTAATATTAAATGAGGAATAATACGGAACGAAAGCTCCAGTGGGACTGAGCGCTTTGTGCCAGAAGCGAGTTGATAACGCTTTCAAACTCCATTAAAGCTGCATCAGATGCTGTCACACACACCGCCTGTGAGAAGTGGCTGTTTAACAGGACATGAAACTGAATTCATACTGTAAGGTTTTTTTATTTTTATTTTGATGTGACACTCTCCCAACATCAACCAGCAGCAGGAAGCCTTGTGATGGACAGCAAGGCTTCCTGCTGCTGGTAAGTCGCTGTGTAAGATCCACATGCGACTCGAGTGGAGTCGCACGCGGACGCGCATGTGAGGTTTTCTCAACGGACATTGATTTGAAGCATCATGAAATATTTGAAGCTCTTAAAAGTTTGCAACAGCCTGTTTTTTGTGGTATATTTTTCTTTTTCTTTTTTTTAATCAGATTAAGGACAGATATTTATTGTGTTAAACAATGAGCCTGATATTTCAGACAAACTCCACATATCCATTTCTTTTCTAAATACCTCTTTCTGTTGGACTAAAGTGCGATTTTATTTTTCTCTTGCTGATTTTTTTTTTAGCTCAGTAACACTTACATCTCAGCACTTTGGAGGCTTTCTAAAGTAGTGCAACTTTGCTCTAAGCAAAAAAAAAAAAAAAAAAAAAAACTTTTAATACACTTTTTAGGAGAAGTGGGATTTCTAGGAAATGTAGCTGAAGATTTAAATAAGATAAAAATGTGTTACCTCACATTCACATCTTGGAAATAACTCCTCATCTGCAATGCCTCCACTCTGTAAGATTCCTTCAGTGACCTAAAATGCAAGACGAACTCACATTTGTCTTGCTGTAAAAGATGCATTTGAAACAGCAGGGGAAAAAAAGCTGAAAATACTTTTTTTTTTCTTCTAGCACAATTTATTCCACCATTTGTTTACAGTAGCTTTGTAAATGCAGTTTGTACGTTGATTCGTAGTAGTCTTCACACATCAGCTCTTGGCATTCTGAAGAGTGAGTAACACCTCACATGATTGGAATATTAAACAAATGTTGTTAAATATGAACAAATGAATAAATAAGCCCCGTTTCAGTGGCTCCACAGTGGAACAACAAGAGTCCTTTTGAGGGTCCGAGTGCCTCGCGTCTCCAGTCGCAGACAGGTACATCAGTTTCCAGCAGAAACACAATGTGGGGGAGCTGACTGTAGCAGAGACCAGGAGGCCCCCTTTTGAGTTGCAAACACACATGCACAAACAGTCATGGAGGGATTACGAGCCAACAGAGCAACCAGAGAACAGAAGAGGGAAAAGAGGACCGAGAAAGTCACACGAGTCATTTTGAAGAATCCAAATGCAGTTGCCTTACGCGTCCTCATTTATTTAAAAATTTTTGTAAAGGTTTTTGCAGAATCTTTTTGCAGCCCATTTTTGCTTTGAGTGACACTCCAGGTTTCTTTAAGTGCCTTTATCGTTTATTTTTACTCTCCCTTGCTAGAGTAGGGAACAGGTCATTTTCAGTTTCATATTTTTTTTCAGATTTAGTTATCTTGTACTCAACCTTTTCAGATATCAAAAGATGCCATTGCCCTGGGACTTTTTGTACCAATCAGGAATATATAAATACATATCTGCTTTCAGGTCACTCGGGTAAAACTTGTACTTTCCTTCCTATTTTAAAATAAAAGTTCTCAAATATAGAAACAAACAGAGGGTCAAGTTTGAAGCAGATAATGTCACAAGCTGACAGCAATTGAACACAGTGGCCACAAACAGTCAGATTTGACCTTTTCATGAGATGTCTTTTCCAAATACCTTGAAGACATTCTTGATATCAATGCTTCCTTGTCCCTCTAGTTTTATGGTGAAACATCCTGTCTCAATCCCTGTTTGTCAAACTATTTCTTATTAGAATTTGGTAATGCTAGAATTTCAGAAAAACCTTTTAAAAGATAAGTCATAATTAAATCACGATCAGTCCCAAACATAGAAACAGTCTTCAGTTTAACAAGAAATACGGTGATATTTTAATAATAATAATATTTCATTGCATCCAACTGTCCTGCCACAGTGTTGTACATTTTTTATTTAACTGTTATGGGCTTTGTCCTCCTTTTGCTGTTTTTTTTTTATTTATTTTTTATCAGTTTTAATTCTAAATTTCTAGTCAGGTACATGATCTCAGGTGTAAGCAAATTTTATGACTTCCCAGAAATTTTATGAAACTCTTAAAGGACATGTTAACAAATGCATTGCTTGTTAATTTTTATGGGTGTATACTCCATCCATCCATTTTCTATGCACCCTTGTCCCTTAGTGGGGTCGGGAGTGGGTGTGTACTAAAATATTTATTTGAAATGAAAAGTAAAAAAAAAAAAGTCTTAAAAGAAAAACGTAAAACTCATTTACTGCATCTGTGTTAAACAGATTAAGTGTTGACAGACATTTCAAGCATTTGTTTGTTGGTTCTTTTGATGGTTATGACCTTTCCTAAGCAAGAACATTACATAACACCAAAAGGCTGCAGTTTTCTGTTGCTTGGACAGGTTTTACAACACTTACAGTGATATGCTTGGACACAGCACTCTGTGACCAGCAAGCTTCTTTCACAATTACTGTCTATGCTTTGCTCTCCATGTGGAGGTATCAGTTACTGGCTGCTGGACAAATTGGGTCCTCTGGTTCTGTACCTGGCTGGTTCCACTCAGTAATCCCTCCATGCAACGGACACAGTCTCGCAGTCGCGCTCACTCCAGGCTCTCTCTTTAAGAAATGACTAATTTTTACATGAAAAATCTGGCAGATCTGATAGAGAAAAACTGAGAGAGGTTACAAGTGAAATTTACAATATGTCATGTTGCTTTTCTGCAGCTGTAAACATTAGCAAAGTAAAGGGAGGACTGCCAGTTGCACACACAGGGAACATCTAGACTGTAAACATTTCAATACAGAGACACACACAGCACTGTCCCAGTCAGCCCTCTACAACGACCTTTCACACACACACCTACACACACACACACACACACACAGACACGCACGCACGCACGCACGCACGCACGCACGCACGCACGCACACACACGGCTTCAGTAACCTGTCACAATCCAAGCACACACACACAGACACATTCAGGTGAAGCCTGACACTGACGCATCCCAACCACACACACGCACGCACGCACGCACACACACACACGCTTTAAGGGCGTAAACTACATTGCTTCCAGCTCCCTCCTCCCTCCCAGTCTGGACTGAGCATGTGCAGACCGTTCCCCGTCTTCTCCACCCCACCACGCCCGTCTTTCAGACCAAGCGAACGCACCGGACAAGCTGACGTGCCAGTTCCTCTCTCTTCCTGCTCAGATGTGCGCAGAGCCGATCTGAAAAGCATTTTATGTACTTTCTGATGTAATTAATCTGGTGTGGACGGTACGCAGAACTGAGGCAGGGGGCTATGAAAGAGGAGCGCACTGTGAGGCAGTCTTTTATGAGAGATCACCACCAAGCTGGAGTCCTGTTTGTGTGAGATGAGAGGCCCACTGAATAATGTACAAGTCTGTTTGCAGTTTTCTGCCTCTCCTTCTCCTTCATCCTCATGTGGTTCCTTTTCCTCTTCCACCCACCCTGCCCTGCTTCCTCCACCCCCAAAAAATCCCCACCCAGTTAAGGCCATGGAAGGACTGGACACAAGTTACAGACAGGCCTGGACCCAGAGACGAGATGGGAGGCCCGTTAAGACCATGCTTTGATTTGGAGGGGTGTCTGAAGGGAGGCGGGAGAGGGTCCACGTTGTATGCAGTATCATCAGCAGGTTTCGAAATAAAAAGCTTAACAGAGGCCCTTTAATGCGTGATGGTTGGAAAGTCACATTTTCTTTTTGGTTCAGTTTACAAGGAACGGTTGTCTGATAGGACTATGGATTCCGTCACGGCGAGTATGCGATGATCACTTTGATTGTTTCATCAGATTTGGTAGCGTCTGTGTCCAGATGTCCATGGTAGGAACCTAATATGTCCTGAAGACAAAAAGGAGACAGACAGGACAGACTGATGTTCTCAGAAATTAGAAACTAATGTCAGAAGTTAGAAGCTGTCAACCGTTACGTTTTCAATTCGTTTTGGACGATAAAGGAATTAGCGTTTACCAGACCTTTCCTAACAGATACTGATTTCCAATTTTCTCCTATGGTGGAATGTTGGCCCACTTTTCTTGGTGAACTTATTTTAAGCAAGGATTTCATGGACTACAAGGCCTGGGTAAAGTGACCGTCCTAATCTGACTTAAGTCTGGACTTTGAATAGGCCTATCGTAAGAACAAAACTGTTTTTACGTTTAAGATCACAAGCTAAAGGACAGACGTTTTGCTTGAGGATTTTTGGGTTGAAAGCAGAGTTCATGGTGATGTACAGATGCATTATACAACATGCATGAGAGAATTAAGGCAATACTCCATGTATATTTTGGATGAAGGAATAGCATTATAACATGATGTAAAGCTCAAAAATGTCAACCTTACATAATACCCCATTAAGATAAAATTGCATAAAGTGTTATTTAATTTCCCCAGCAACTTTGTTTTGCTTGTTTGTGAATTCTTTATGTAAGTTTCATCCTGCCTCAGATTTTTCAGTATATGACAAATCAATGAGCAAAGCTGATCAGTAGATTTTGATATCACGCCAACTAATTAGTGCATCACAGCATACCCAAGGATAACAGATTAACCCTGTTTTAAGTAGCCTGGCCATTGCCTTCCTGTGCAACTCCACTCGATTCTCATTTCCCTTCAGTGCTCCATCTGGGAATTCTCCCATTGAACTAGATTTTGCTGGCTGAATTTCAACCAGGCAGATCAGTGAACTGAAAGAGGAGTTGTGAACAATGTTTTAGAGTTGTAGAGGAAGTGAACAAAGTAATTTAATCCATGCTGCCAAATATTGAATTAACATTAACATCCATCTCATTCGACTTCTCTCTTCGCAGTGGAGGATGGTTGTTTACAGTGAAGGCCATTTCCAGTGAGCTTCAAAGCATTGAACTGGCGCATTACATACACCGGGGGCACACGTTAGCAACTGGGTAAAATTATAAAATTCAACAGATCCACAGAGAAAGAGAGCAATTGTTTCTCAATAGCAGACCTTCTTTTCCAGCCCCAGTTTCAGTAGAACATGGGGCTGGTTTTTACCAGACTGTATTTCAAGGGGAAATCCACAGTTTTTTAATATCATTTTTAAAGCTACTAAACATTTCCATCATGCTATTCCTGCAATTTCAACGTCTGTAATGAGACGCCAGAAACACTGTGGGATTTTAAAATTAGAGTTGTAATGCCCTCCCATACATGCTGCTGCAAGTTGCCAGTAGATTTTCTCTTAATTTACAAAATAGTCAGCCATGTCCTGGCTACCAGTGGAGAGACTGAGAAAAAACTGTCAGAAGTGAAACATTGGCAGTAAACTCTAAGGATTACCTTGCCTGCTGTTTTTTTTTGATTGTTTTGGATTGACTCGCTTACACGTTTCTGGATATAAACTGGCCTGTTTTGAAAAGAACAGATTTTGCATAAATAAACTGCACTGAACTCAATGAACTGCCAGCTTTAGGTTTGGTGGTAAAGAACCATAATGAAAGGAATCTTGTGCTGCATATTAGAGTTTATGCACTTTCTTCAGCGGGCGATCACACTATGATTCTCACCTTGAAGAGTACTCAGAGTGGGCCAGGTGGTCGGTCAGTCGGAGGGGTGTTCAGGGCAGGACCGATTGATCTCAAACCAAGAGTCTATACAGCTGCAGAAGCACAAAGACACACAGACATGAAGTAGCTCAATCGGATATAGAAATCAGAAAACACATCTACATTGGCTTCTTCACACAGATAAAGATGAATTTACGCATCTGAATTAGAAACAAGCTGAACTATGTTACGCAATACGCATTTAACTCAATGTTATGGAAAGCTGTTGCTAAAGTTTCATGTAGGCCTGTTGGAAAATCTCCAAATACTCCCACACAGGAAGCTCACAGAAACATGAAACTTATCAATGAACCTCAAGGGACGACACTGGAAGAGACCTCTTCTGACCTGTTTTGAATTTATAAAATCTTTCTCTGGGTTCTTAGAAAACATTTGACAGTAACCACATTTTTGGGGGTCGTCATGTCAAGTTTATTTCATAAACAGCTTGAGAACTAAACTCAGATCCTAAGAAGAAAAATTCACCATGTTAGGATAACTTTTGTGGAGTAAGCGCTGTGCTGAAATGTCCTCATTGCAAATTTTTTTACACAGGCAGATGCTAATGATTATATAGCAAAGTGGAGCCATTTCTGAATCGCAGCAACTCAGCCACAAGGTGGTACGATCATAGATTGTATTTTTTTTTTTTTTTTCTTCAGTGGATGCTGGGCAGGAAAGAATACGTTCTTTGAAGTTGTGCTATTAAGCACTTTGGATTAAGAATGGGATGTCACTCAAGTTTATGTTTGTGTGAAGGCAATTTAGTTTGGCAACATAGTATACTATACAGTTTCAGTAAAGCAGTACTGCGTGCAGAAAAAAATAAATGCATTCTAAAATTAAATCTAAAATTATAAATGTGTACAATAAGTAAAAATTTGTTAAAGTTCAAGAAATGTGTCAATAATTACTTAAATACAGAAACATATAATTTATTGTAAATTATATGGCGTTATAAGGCAAATATAATTATAAGGCAAACTTGAATTTATTGCATGTTAATATTTACTACTTAGTTTCCCTTTGGATTAATAAAGTATTATTGAATTGAATTGTTAAAACAACACGATCTCAACAGTTATTTGATATTTTCTGTGCTGCACTTCATCATAAAATAATTTAATCTCTGACTCTCGTTCATCTAGTAGACTCCAACATTTCACTGGTCAAACTGGTAACAGTGGTTTAATGGCAGACCAATCACCTTTGCAGAGTTTGCCACAGACTTTGATGGTGGTTAATTATTTCAGAATTATATAAGCTATTACATTTAATAAATTAGAATGAATAATTTCCACATTTGATTGTTTAAATATGTTCTTCTAAATTTTTGTTTTGAAATATTTAAATAATTTGAATAAAACAGATTGATTTATGCAATAAATGAACTTCCAATTTTATTAAAACGATGACATAAAGTGAACATTTATGCAACTTATTAATTCCTTTGCATTGTGCTACTTTGACTCTCGATACCAGCTCATCTCTTTGTTTAACTTTTTAATAAAGTGAAACACTTCATATGACAGAGAGCAGAAATGCTGCATGGATCACTTTTATCTTTAAACAAATGATTGAATAATGTTTGCATCAAAGTAAAGCAGAGCAATCAATCTTTAAACCTTTACACAGCGCTGTGAGGGGAGGGGATTTAATTAGAAGAAGTGCAAAACTGATATAAGAGCCAGTGATTCAAATCTGTCTGCGTATGCGTGTGTGTGTGCGCGTGTGTGTGTCAGTCACCTTTTGTGGTAGATGCAGAGGCACGGCAGTCTAGCTATGGTGTCCCCTTGCTGCAGCTCCTCTAGACAGATCACACACTCGCCGGCATCCCTCGCCAACACATCATCTAAGGTGGCAGACACACACACACACACACACAGAGCGGAAGAAGAATTAGCATTTCACCACAAACACTGATAATGTCAGCCATCATATCAAACAGCAGAGAGCAGCCGGGAAAGCAGCTCGGTGCATCACAAAGATGATACCGTTGGCATTTTCTGCTTCCAGCCATAAAAAAAAAATGCAACAAAGAAGCAATTTGTGACGAGCTTTGAGCCAGTTTCTGTTGCTATTACTAGAAAATGTATTTCAGAATATTTTATCCGCTCCACTACACTATTAAATGAAGATCAGCAGCTACAGAGACTTGAATGATCTATACAGAACGATTGTGCTTATCAAACCACACGGGACTTAACCTGTACTCATCATCCTGGAGCATTTTAACATTTTTGTCACATCACTATCATAAACTTCAACGTACAAGACGAAACACAACTGAAGCGAAGGAAAAAGGCAGGGTTTTCCAAAACAAACAAACAAAAAAAATCAAACAAAAAGAGAAATCTGAAAAGTGTGGCATGTATGTTGTAGAACCTCGACTAATACAACTGAAAGTCTTTTGTGGCTTGTTTCTGTCATGCAAAGATGTAGTTTTTGTTCATTTCCAGAGGCAAAATATAGCAATGTTTTCTAATATATTATAATGTTTTTTTTTTTTTTTTTTTAAGTGCAGTGAGAATTAATAAATTAACAATGACCTTATCGAATTATCTGACAATGATAAGATATTTTGGGGTCAAAATCTTAAGTCTATCTATAATCCAAACCTGTTCTTTTCTCAGGCTACACCAAGATGGGAATAAAGGCGTCTAATCTCTGTTTAGGCTGACATGTGGAGGAAGCAAGTGGAAAATGTTTTCAAACCAGCTTTTGCTGCAACCTACACCTAAATGTCATGTGTGCAGAAAGAAAAGATTTCTAGTGAATAAATTAGTTGCAATATAACCAGCCTTAAACCCCATACTAAATCCTACTTGATTTTTGTGTTACTTGTAGTGATGAAGAGCAGCAAATCAGATCAACATTTCATTAACTTAATCTGGACAAGCATCCATTTCCAATATGACCAGTACAAACTAGCATCCACGTGCATTCAGAATTTGGTGATGAATTATCCTAACACGCATACTTTGGGAATGTGGAAAGCAGCTAGAGGACACATAGAGCACATACAAACCCCAGGCAGAAAGTCCCAGATTTAAAACCCTCTTGTTGCAAAGCAACAGCACTAACAACTGCTCAGCTGTGCGGCGCCAGTCGAGGCGCCCACACTTAGAGAATGATGCAATGATGACTGAGTCTCTCTTTAAGTACAAGGACAAGTAATTAGATCAATGTTTTAATAACAGTAAAATAAACCACCAGAAATCACTTTTTAATTGATCCACAGGTTTGAATAAAACAGACAGTTTGCTGACTTTAATCAGTAATTTAAGACAATCCAGCTCAAGTATCTGTACAGATGAAATGGGTTTACCTTGCTCTCGACGCTGAATTTCAGCCAGGGCACGTTTGTTATTGTTCATGTGGTTGCTATTGTCTATTTGATGATGGGAGTGCAGCGGTAGCTTGGTGGAAATGAATTTCCCCTTTGGGACAATAAAGTCTAAAGTCTAAAATCAGGACATCCAGTTAGCCAGTGTCAGTGTGCAAAATTCATGACACAGCCAGAATTTCCACATTCTTTACTCTGGTAATCTATAGTTCTTATAGCCTTCTGAATGTCTTTCCAAAACTTTAGCTGCTCGTGCACTTACCCTGCATCCAGAAGAAAAGCTTATCTTGAGGTAGAAGGGAGGATTCATAATATTAACCTGCCGTTGGCAAAGCTGCAAAAATAACACAATCCGGTCATGTAGCGCAGAGCCCCGTAAGATGTTTTCCAACATCTCATTAAAAGGTGAGGCTGCCTGAGCACAGTGTGTGGCGTGACCCAGTAAAGGTACGCCGAGACTAATAAAGTGCTCACACAGTGTGAAATTCTAGAGAATAAGTTGCTCATAAATTAAATTCTCTGCTTGCTTTAAAACAAAACGCTACATCAAACGAGTCGTCCTTGGTCCTGGTTACCCCCACCTGACCGAGGCCAGGAAAATCTCCATGGCTCTTCAGAGGATCAATACGCCATTCAGCGAATGTGCAAAATGACGGATTGTGTGCAATTATACAAAGCAAGTACAACATATAATTGGGGATACATGTGTCATACATAGCCCTCCACATTTGTTAAAGTTGTGTAAAAATCCTAAAGAATCTAAAATCGATGATAACTTGACTAACATAATAATATTAATTGAAAAGAGCAGAGAAAACAAGTAAAATACCTAATGCTTGATAGAAATTAGAATTTTGGTTGGATGAGCTGTTCAGGTTGAAATTCTTCGGTAATAATTTACACTGAATAATAAACGTTTTATTATACAAATGTAAAAAACGGATATCAGTGTGCAAAATTCATGGTTCTCTCTGGGTACTCTGGCTTCCTCCCGGAGTCCAGAAACATGACTGGTCAATTAACTGGTCTCTCTAACTTGTCCTGTGTTACCCGATGATGGACTGGCAACCTGTCCAGAATGTACCTCAACTAAAAACCAACAGAGGGGGGTGCTGTGGTGGTGGCAAAGCACAACCACGTATGGAGGCCTTAGTCCTCGTGGCAGTGGTTGCAGGTTCGATTCCCAGCCTGGCGACATTTGCCACATGTCTCCTCTCTCTTGCTACCCCTGTTTCCTGTCGAACTACTTTCAAATAAAGGCCACTAGAGCCAACAAAACCTTTTAAAAAACAACTAACAGAGAGTCTGTGGAGGGATGATGGCATCGAGGCCGTCCAACCTCAGAGACTTTGAGCTTACCACCAAACATAAATTGTCAAAATGTTAACGCTGAGCAGAAAAAAATTCAATTTTTTAAATTTAGAGAACCACGGGTCCATCTGCTTTGCCAATGAACTGCTTCAGTACACATAGAAGATCATGTTCTGATTAAAGAAACAGAACCAAACCATTTGATTCATTTGCATAAAGCAAAGATGAGGCCGAGGTTCCCTAAGCCAAACAGTTCTGTACAACACTAGAGGCGCTGTGTCATCTGTTGAGAACCGTG